TTCATGACCTCTTCCCTCGGCTTCTTCTTTGTCTGTACTGTACTTGGTCTGAACCACAGCACAACATCCAGATAAGAAAGCAAATGACTTGTGCCCAGGTTCGGAGCCTCATGGAATCAGCATCATGACCTCCAAGGTTTTTGGCGCTGTGTAGTACCCAAGAGACAACCGCCATGCTTGCTGCTGGAAGTGGGAAAGGGGAAAATGAAGGAGGAAGAAGTGCTGCCTCCCTGCATAGAGGCCACAATGTGACAGTTGACAGTGTGACCTCCTACTCATACCACATCTGTCTTAGTGTACAGCTCGAGAAGTCTCTCTGAACCTTCATTCATTCAATCACTTGAAAAGTATTTGTTGAGAACCCTTATTGTGTATCAGGCATAGTAATCTATATTGGAGACTCAGTGATGGGCAAAAGGTAGCATCCCTCATCTCTGAAGCCTACAGTCTAATGGAACACCCATGTGTTAATCCCAGTCCATCCCAACCAAATTTGGGATAAATGCTAAGATGACAATATAAGGAGACACCCTCCCCCCAGGTGAAATTTGGAATTTAGGGGAAAGCATCTCTACATGACATCGAACCTCTTCCAGTAGGATGAACAGGAATGAGCTAAGCGAAGCCCAGAGGAAAAGGTGACTCAGGGCAGTGGCATGTGTGGGCGCTGAGGCAAGACAACTGGGTGTGTTCTCAGCATGAACTGAAGGCTAGCGATAGGGATGCTTAGAGCAGAGGCTGGAGGGGCAGGAAACGGGAGGCCACAGAGGGCCTTGGGCATTTGATTCGGGAGTTATGGTTTTAGACTTAATTCAGAAGGCACACCCTTTACAAGAATCACCCTGTCTGCTGGCACTGGATTGGAGGGGCCCGAGTGGATCCCAGGAAGCCAGTGGGAAATGCTGGCCGGGACAAGGGGTGTCCACCATAGAGGTGGAGATGGAGGATGGGTGGGAAGGAAATTTAGGAGGTTGAATCACGAGTGCTTGATGGATGGTTGGGTGTGGAGTGAGATGGAACAGGCATCAAGGAGCCTCAGGTTTCTGACTCAGGCAACTGCATTTGGGGCTTTTCTTGCAAACGCAGACATGACTCTTGATCATTTCTGCTCTTCTGGTGTTATCATTACTGAGATAAGTGGGGAGTTATCACTAAAACAGACCAGACACAAGGTCAAAGGAGAGGAAGACTGGAAAGATAAGACAGAGGGGTCTTTTCTTTCTACTCCTAAAAATGCATTTCTCACTGGAAAAGAAATGAAAAGGCTCAAACAAGCTTCCCAGTGGCAAAATTCTGCTATTACAAGTGGCTTTTTGGTTTGTTTTTCTGTTAATATCTTGTGAATTTGAAATCTAGTCTCTTCTCTTTGTATACTGGAGAGACATTTATAAAGAACATTTTCCATTTTGGGTCATTAACGCAGGTAGTCCTGAGATATCCCCTTTGGGTCCAAAACAGTTATCCCCTGCCTTGTATCCTCCAAGACAATATGATGGCTGGGTAAGACACGGGGCTTTATCAATTCCCCCATTTCCTAAAGGCACTCAAGGGCAGAGGGGAAGAGAACACCACTGTGTGACCTTCTTTTGTACTCATTGGAAATAATGGCTATTATTATGGCTCTAAGTTCAAGGATAAAGACAGTGGAAACCTGGCCATATCACCATAACAGCTTTATTAATAGCTGAGAGGGGAATTGCCTTTATTCTTTCAATAATCATAAATGACTTTCCTATTCACAAGGGCATTTTCAACTTTCATGGAATTCTGAGTAACTTCAAAAGAAGTAAAGCCATGGTTGTTATGGGTTGAACTGTGTCCCCTGACCTCCCTCAAATTTTATGTCTAAGTCCTAACCCCTAGTGTCTCAGAATGTGACCTCTGTTGAAAATAGGGCTATTGCAGATGGTCTTGGTTAAGATGAAGCATCACTAGAGTAGGATGGACCCTTTATTTTTTTTAAAGCTTTTACTTATTTATTTGACACAGAGAGAGAGATCACAAGCAGGCAGAGACACAAGCAGAGAGAGAGGGGGAAGCAGGCTCCCTGCTGAGCAGAGAGCCTGCGGGGCTTGATCCCAGGACCCTGAGATCATGACCTGAGCCGAAGGCAGAGGCTCAACCCACTGAGCCACCCAGGCGCCCCTAGGATGGACCCTCAATCCAATATGGCTAGTGTCCATAGAAGAAGAGGAGAGAGACGTGGAAGGAAGGCAGCCATGTGACATTGGAGGCAGAGACTGGAACGATGCATCTACGAACCGAAGAACACCAAAGATTGTCAGCAAACACCAGAAGCTAGAAGAGGCAAGGAAGGACTCTTCCATCGAGGTTTCAGAGGGATCATGGCCCTGCAGATACCTGGATTTCAGACTTCTAGCCTCTAGAACCATGAGACAATAAACTTTTATTGTTTTAAGCCACCTAGTTTGTGGGACTTTGCTATGGTGGTCCTAGGAAACTAATACAGTTGTAATATTTGAAAATACCTTGGAGGGGAAAACTGTGACCTTCATTAATTTTTGATTCTGTCAACAGAACACTACCAAAGTGTGTGAGACTTTACTAGTAATCCGTAATTATTAAAGCTACTGAAAATTCTACCTTTTTCTTTTACTAAAACAATCAGGAAACAAATGAATGAGCTGCGACCAGACAACAAATGAATGTGACCTCAACAGGAATGAGCTGTAACTTACCCCCGCAACACCATTGTTTTGAGGCTGTACCTTCCTGGAATGATCCTGCTTTTATATATCTGTCCCCAAGCCTCAACAAACTCAAGTACAAATATCTTCCTATAAACATTATGGGTGGGGCGCCTGGGTGGCTCAGTGGGTTAAAGCCTCTACCTTTGGCTCAGGTCATGATCCCAGGGTCCTGGGATCGAGCCCCACATCTGGCTCTCTGCTCAGCAGGGAGCCTGCTTCCCCCTCTCTCTCTGCCTGCCTCTCTGCCTACTTGTGATCTCTGTCTGTCAAATAAATAAACAAAATCTTTAAAAAAGTAAAAATAAAAAAAAATAAACATCATGGGCACAAAACAGGGTCCAGTGTGACAAAGCTAAAACTGTCCTTGGCAAACTTGTGCTGATTTCCACTTTGTCCTTCCTAAATAACCCTATGACATACCATTTTATTCAGTTTGGGGTTTTTTGGTTTTTTGTTTTTTTTTTTTTTTGTTTTTTTTAGAGAGAGAGAGAGCACGGGTGGAGGCAGAGGAAGAGTGAGAATCTCAAGCAGACCCCGCTCTCAATGCAGAGCCCGGCGCAGGGCTCAATCCCCGGACCCTGAGATCATGACCTAAGCCAAAAATCAAGAGTTGGACACTTAACTGACAGAACCACCCAGGCGGCCCCATGTTGCTCAGTTCCTTAAAAACACATCATTAAAGATAACTCACCCTGCAAGATTCTGATGGATGATGCAGTAGGGATTTTTCTTCCTTTCCTTCTGAAGCGAGTTTTTTTGAGCTTGGCTAATTTCCAGCTATTCTCAGGTAAATTTCCTAAGGTGTCTCTTTAAGATTCAAACCTGTAGTGGAGGGAGGATGCCATAAACTGTGGCAGAGGAACCATGGGGGGAGTAGAGGTGGCAGCAAAAGCCAAAGTTGTTTCATTTGGGACAGTTGCATAAAGGGCACCAACAGGTAGGCGTTCTGACTTTGTCTTCTGAGTGGGGGGTAAAGATAGAATTAATTTCTCTATTAATAATTACTTTAATATATAAACATCATCAAAACTTTTTGCCCTTTGGTTTGTTCTTTTTTAGATTTTATTTGCTTGACGCACACACACACACACACACACAGAGCACAAGCAGGGCAAGTGGCAGGCAGAGGGAGAGGGAGAAGCAGGCTCCCTGCAGAACAGGGAGCTTGACACCAGGCTGGATCCCAGGACCCTGGGATCATGACCTAAGCTAAGTGCAGATGCTTAAGCCACTGAGCCACCCAGGCGCCCCATGCCCTTTGGTTTTTACCAAAGATTTTTTTTTTAAGTATTCACAAAAAACCCAGTGTAGATGGCAATTTCTTTTACATCATAGATCTATTTTCCTACTGTATATTTATCATATGATCATATCATATGAAATGAAGTATTTCTAATCATTCAAGATTTACAGCAATGGCAATCGACAGATACTTCAAATGCTTCTAATTTGGTTGTGTACTTTTTAAAAAAGTGGTTAAGAAATAAAAAACACCTGAAAATATCCATCTTAGCCTTTACATGGCATCTAAACCTTAAGGTCAAATATTATACCCAATATTTAGAAAAGCAAAAGTAAGACTAATGCAACCACAGCATAATGTAACCATGTAACCATGGGCATATGATAACCCTAAATAGCAACTTAACAGCAGAGCCATGAGTTAGAATTACAACAGTTCTTAGATATTGAAAAGAAGGTGCAGCGAGCCAACTCTTAAGCTGGCCCACAATAATCCCCGCCTCCTGGTATTCACAATCTATGACCAAGATGGCAGGCCAACAGCCTCCATCTTGGTCATAGACTAATTTACCTGGACTGAAATGATCACTCCCACGGAGCTGGCAGGACCTGTGATTTACTTCTAACAAACCGCATGTGGCCCAGGTGAGGGGCTATCACTTCCCTGATTAGATTACCAAAGGTGGTGGCTTCCATCTTGCTAGCAACCTCTCTCTCTTGCCGGCTTTGATGAAGCAAGCTGTCCCGCAGGAGAGGTGCCTGTGGCTGGAAATGGAGAGCAGCCTTTAACCGACACTGCCAGAGGAACTGAATCCTACAAACAACCACATGAGTTTGAGCTTGGAAGTGGATCCTAAGCCTGGGAGATGCCTGTGGCCCTGACTGATGACACGTAGCCTACAGCCTTTAAGAGACGCTGAGCGGAGGACTCAGCCAAGCCTCGCCTGCATGCCTGACTGGAGATGGTAAGATCACAGAGTGTGTTACCATAAGCCACTAAGTCTGGGGGTAATTTGTTACACAGCAATAAATACCTAAGACAGAAGGGTAATTGCTTTGCATTTTTATTATGCTGGTGAGCCGTGGCTTAACATCCGTTAGTACTGTTTAATGGAATCAACATACAAATTGTTGTACCGGGAATTGTTTTCGGTTAAGACTACGTTTTTCAGACTTTGCCAAAATAAGCCTTCCGCCTTGGGGTTGTCAGGCCATTGAAGGATGGAGCTCTTGCAGATCCTCTGCCGCAGCCTCAAATACTGAGAATGCTGTAACACGGGCTCCAGCAGAATAAATACAATCACATCCATGTTCTCTTCCATGAGCCGCTGCAAGGCCAAGTAGAATGCTGTTTTGAAGTTCCAGTTTTGGGCATATTCTTTGGTTAAGACGAATATAGTTTTCTTGCTTTGGTTTATGCTCTGCATGAGGTTATCGATGATGGCTAATCCGGGGTCCCAATCCCTCTCCTCTAAACACAGGAGCACATTTTTTCCTTCGCTCTCCTCTAGGTGGAAACGCAGCTCATTTATCACCCAGTCCGTAACCGACGCATCTTTGGTGTCGTAAGAAACATAGGCATCATAGAAAGTTTGGGACGTGGAAAGAGACCTGTAGCCTTTTACCTTAGCTAGACAAACGTGGTAGATAAACCAAACATCCCAGTAAAACCAGTGGTGACCCAAGGCAGCCAACATCACGGTAATGGTGATTAAGGACGTGAAGAAACACAACACTGCCGCGATGGTATCTGAAATACAGGTTGTTAGCTCCAGACTCATGATGCTCTTCCCTTTCTGATCCCCAGGACTAGAGCAGATCACGTCTGTCAGCCGAGGGATGGTGACATCCAGATTTTCATCCATCCATCTTCGAAAATCTCCAATGTCACAGGTACAGTCAAAAGGGTTTCTATCTAGTTTCAAAATGGTTAAACTGGTGTTGGTCTTCGTTTGAAGCGTGGACTTGTTGATCATCTTCAACAGGTTGGAACTCAAATCGAGGTGGATCAGACTGCTGGCTTCGGAAAGAAAGTTGGAGGGCAGGTGCGAAATCCTGTTTCGACGTAGTAGCAGCGTCCTCAGGGAAGGCGCGAATTTGGAGAGGCTATTAGTTAAAGAGGATAGCCTGTTTCCACTCAAGTCCAGCAAGTGGAGATGTGGAAAGTGTTGGAGTAATGTCCAGTTAAAGAAATTTAACATGTTATTATTTATGTATAGTTGGGTGAGACTCTGGGGCAAGTTCAGGAAAGCTTCATTTGGGATGAGATGAAGGTTATTCAAGGACAAATCGAGCCGTGTCAGGTTCCTGAGACTTGTAAAAATTTTCCAGTACTTGTCACCTTCAGCATTCCACAAAATGTCAAGGTGGTTTCCTCTGAAAACTAATTCTTCTAGGGACATGCTTCTCAGGTCTTGCTCTGTTAAAGTATAAATGCCATTGTGGCTCAAGTTTAAAACTTTCAGTTGTGTTAAATTTTGAATAAATCCCAGGCGGTGCGTCACCCCTGCTATTCGGAAGTAGTGTGCATTGTAGCTGAGATCTAGAACTTCTAACTCGGGTAGATCACTGAGAGCATTGTCATCGTCAAAGTCTAATCTATTGTTGGTCAGATCCAAATATTTGATATGCGGCACAGCTGAAAATTCAGTTCCATTTAACACTTGACCATTGCCATTTGAAGACAGATTTAAGCAGGCAATGTCATGAAAAGCTTCAAATTGCTCTCGCCCAATGAAGAAAATACTGTTCAGACTTAAATCTAAGGCTTTGCCATAAACTGTGCATTGCGGCTTTATTAAAGGATGGGTAGTATGATAAAAATTTGAATGTGGGTCAAACTCAAAATCTGCTGAGCGTGGCTTAAGGACATGACTTGGAGAGGAGTAACCATTTTCGTCATTTTGCTGGATATCATTTACCAAGGGTGATATTCGGTTTTCTGACAAGTAAATGATCGTCAGATTGGGGAAATCTTGGAAGAGGGTAAAATTAATTTGCTTAATAAAGTTGATGCCCAAGTTGATAGTCCTTAGATGTGGGAGACCCTTCAGGGGATGGAAGTTTTTTGCTGTAAGTTCCTGGAACACGTAACCTCTTAAGTGCAGCGCCTGGAGCAGCTTAAGATTAGAGAAGTTTTGGGAAATATTAATATATTTTGGATATTTTGCCATTTTGTAGTTAAAAGATAAGTCAAGTATTTCCAAGGAGGGCAGTTTCGTTAAGAATTCCCCAGAGGCTATTTCATCCACTAAGTAATTGAATTCCAAGTGCAGAACCTTCAGGTTGGGCATGTTCTCAAACCACGTTACGGGAATCTTCCGCAGAGAAGTGCTAGAGAGGTTTAGGTAGCGAAGTTCCGTCAGGTTTTGAAAAGCAAGAGGATGGATCTGAATTGAAGAGCCTCCTTCACAAGGTGTACAGGGAAATGGGGCGTTGAAACACCTTGGGCAGTTCCCACTTAAATCTAGGACTCTTAACTTTCTCAATCCCTTGAAATCTTCCTGACTGATGATTTTAATCTTGGCATTGCTGAGATAAAGTTCTCTTAGGGAGTCTGGCAGCTTAGGTGGCACATGGACAAGCTTATTAAAAGACAGGGACAGTACCTGCAAATTTGTAAGACTTTCAAATGTTCCGTCTTCTATGGCAAAAGTTTTATTAACACAATTATTGCCGAAATAGCAGTTCCAGCTCAAGTAGAGCCTTTCCAGATTGGTAAGGCCAGAAGTGTTCTTTTTAGTCACCAAAATTATGTTGTTTTTAATGAGACTAAGTTCCTTCAAAGACCCTGGCAAGCCGCCAGGTACTTGGTATAACTGGTTGTCTTCAAGCAGTAACTGGTTTAAGTTTTGTAGGTTGAGGAACGCCCCATCTGTGATATTCATGCCTTTTTGGTTTGTATCAGGGTTTTCATTCAGGTGCTGTGGATTGCCATTGTGGTTTAGATTTATTTTAGTAAGATTCTGCAGCCCTTGAAATGATTCATTTGTTATGTGTGTAATGTAATTATCAGAGAGGTCTAGTGCTGTCACATACTTGCCCACGGTTTGGGGAACTTCTCTCAGTCGACGGCTGTTGCATTCTGCAATCACAGAGCCATTTTGTCTTTTCTCATCACAAGGATAGCTTCTAGAATAATTTGCTTTGCTGAAGAACTCATAGGAATCAGAGATGAGCAGGAAAAGGCAGGTCAGAAACAAAGATGGGAGGGTCATGTTTTCCTAAGGAAAATCAAAAGTGGAGGCACAAGGTTAGAGTAACAGGGTTTACCAGGTAATTCATGACAAAAATAACAGCGCTTCATGACACTGCGCATGTATTTTGAAGTATGAATTCTCTTAGCAATTAAACAAATTGTGTGAAGTTACGTGCAGAACAATTTTTTAATTAATTTTTTTGTCTTTTTCAAATTGGTATTTAAATTGTAGTTAGTTAACGTATGCTGCGATATTGGTTTTGGGAGTAGAATTTAGTAATTCATCATTTACACACAATACCCATTGCAAGGTTCAGGACAATTTTAATTTGTCAGCACATTCAGCTTCATGGTGCTCAAAGAAGCCTGGGAAGCTTTTGCAGAGGCCTTCATTGAGATGCCTCATCACCGTAACGGGTCTGATGCGGGCCTGTGGCTAGGGTTCATGCTAGATCTGGAACCTGGCAAGCTATATATTCATAGCTTCAACCTATTAGCAGAACTCGCCATGAAAGTTGGCCCATCCCAAGGAGAGTTCAGGTCCACCTTTCATTATGGTATCATCTGAGATCTCCAAGCTAGAGTCACCTCTACCTTAACGACATAGCCATTGCTCGGCACAACCATATCTCTTATTGGCCTTCCCCACAGATGTTTGTTACCTCTCCAGTGGTACATATCCGGATCTATTCTCTCCTCCTCTATCAACAGACACCTTCTGTTGATAATGATAACAAAGTATCAGGGAGTGTGCCAACCATAAACATTTTGTCACCCACATTAATGCCCAGAGCAACACAGTGAGATAGGTTCTATGTTATCCGCATTTCATCTTTGATATTCAATTTATCCATTCAAGACCCTTCAGTGGCTTTCGGAAGGATGATACGTTGTAGAGCTGGATTCCAGTCATTCTGATTCCAACAGTAGCCATGATGCTACACAACCTCACTTTGAAGTCTTTGTGTCAGAACAGCACCTCAGTTGTAGACGGCACTCAAAAAAATCTTGCGGATGGGGCGCCTGGGTGGCTCAGTGGGTTAAAGCCTCTGCCTTCGGCTCAGGTCACGATCCCAGGGTCCTGGGATCGAGCCCCATATCAGGCTCTCTGTTCCTCAGGGAGCCTGCTTTCTCCTCTCTCTCTGCCTGCCTCTGCCTTCTTGTGATCTCTGTCTGTCGAATAAATAAAATCTTTAAAAAAAAAAATCTTGCAGAATGGCTACCAGTATTCCTATGTCCCTTATCATAGGAACGTTGGAATTAATAGCTATTCTTTGGCTGATGTTGTAAACTTCTGTAGGGAAGACATGACGTCTTATCTTTTCAAGCAACCTCTGTAACTCAGTAGAGCGCCTCACTTTCTGCAGCTCCCTCTTAACAGACGGCTGAATATATTAGCTTTGGTAGTTATATGATGCAATAAACACATTAATGTGATTGCGGGATGAGGGCTGTGGTCAGAAGAACTCTCCAAATCTTATTTCACTGAGTCTCAAGACCAACCTTCACGAAATCGTGTTTTTCACTAGAGCCGAACTCCTGTCCTTCTTGTGAGCTAAGCCAGGCAAGTGCTTCCTTTTTAAGTTCTTCTAAAGTTGAGGGTTAATGAACTAAGAGTCCCTGTCATACCCTTAGTATGCGGATAGTGATTATGCTGAGGGTCTAGGATCACCGCCAGTTCACAGCAGACGAGGAAGAGCCAGCTGCTGCCGAGATGAAAACTCAGGTGAAACAGAACTCCCAGGCATTTTCAGTTACTTTCAGTCATTTTCAAGTACAGCACTATCTAGGTGCTGCTGCCTGATGTCTTCCTTCCACAGAAAGCAAGCCCCACTTTACCTGGTTTGGTAGGCAGAACTTCCAGAGGGCCCCTCTGCCCTTTGCTCCCTCGTACTACTCTGTCATCGAGCTAGGTCATGTGACAAAAGGGAGATTATCTAGTTGGGCCTCATTCCATTGTATGAGCCTTTAAAAGCAGAGAGCTTTCTCTGGCTGGCAGCAGAAAGAATCAGAGAGGTTGGAAGCAGGAGAATAATTTGACTCTCTCTTGCTGACTTAAAGGTGGAGGGGGCCACTGGCGAGGAAGGTGGCAGGCCACCTTCAGAAGCTGAGAGTGGTGCTCTGCTGACCCCTGGCAAGGGAACACCCCGTCCCCCATCCTACAACCACGGAAAACTCAAAATGCCTGGCAACCTGAATGAACTTGGGAATGGATCCTTACTCAGAGCCTGGAGTGAAGAGTTCGGCTTGGCCAACGTATCAATTTTAGCCTTATGCAATCAAGAGCAGAGAACCCCGGCAAGCCCACCCGGACTCTGACCTATAGAAATTTGAGCTGATAAATGGGTATTGTTTGAAGCTTCTTGTAATATTAATCTGATGTGTTAAATTTGAGTTTGTGATCTTGCAGTGGAGATGTCCAGTAGGCTGTTACATATATGCCCCTTTGGCTCAGAGGAGAGTGCTCCCTCTCCCTCCTTCTGTCCCTCTGTCGTGGCAGGGACAGCCTGAGGTATGAATCAGATCATGCAGGGTAGTGGATGCCATAAAGGACATTCCATACTTCAGTTCTATCAACAACGGTTTCCACATCTTTTTTTCTGGTAAATTTATGATTTCATTTTCCTACACTGAAATATCTTATCCCACTGGGATTGTTTTGGCATAAAACATGAGGTGCAGACCCACATTATTTTTTTCTAAATGGAGATCTGCTTGCCCCAACGTCATTCACATATTTATTTTTACTGAAATATTGTTGACACACAATGTCACATTAGTTTTAGCCATACGACATAGTGATTCGACAAGTCCATACATTATGCTGTGTTCCCTGCAAACGTAGCTCCCATCTGCCATGGTACCACACTATCACAGTACCTCTGACTACATTCACTATGCTGTACCTTTCAACCCTGTGATTTGTTCATTCTGTAACTGGAAACTTGTACCTCCCACTCCCCTTTGCCCATTTTGCTCATCACCCTCCCCCTCTGGGAACTACTAGTGTGTTCTGTGTGTTTATGGGTCTGTTTATTTGTTCATTTGTTTTGTCTTTTAGATCTCACATATAAATGAAACCATACAGTATTTCTCTTTGACTTGTTTCATTCAGCATAATACCCTCTTGGTCCATCCATGTCGCAAATGGCAAGATACCATTCTTTTTTATAGCTGTGGGTATACACGCCATCTTCTTTATCTATTCCTCTGTCAATGGACATTTAGGTTGCTTCCATATCTCAGCTATTGTAAATAATACTGTAATGAACATAGAAGTGTGTGTGTGTGTGTGTGTGTGTTTGAATCTGTGTTTTCATTTTCTTTGTTTTTGATGTGTGTTTTATTTAGCCATTGTGACAGGTGTGAGGTGAGCTCTCATGGTGGTTGTGATTAGCATTTCCCTAATGATGAGTGATGTGGAGCATCTTTTCATGTGTCTGTTGGCCATCTGTATGTCTTCTTTGGAAAAATGTCTATTCAGGTCCTCTTAATCAGGCTATTTTTTTGGTGTTGAGTTGTATAAGTTCTTTATGTATTTTGACTATCAACCCTTTATCAGACATACCAGTGCAAATATCTTCTCCCATTCAGTGGGTTGCTTTTCTGTTTTGATGATGTGCAAACATCACTTGTTGAATAATTTTTTGCTTCCCAACTTTAGGCTCTCTGCTTCATCAATCTGTTCATCATTCACATGCTGGCACCACATGTTTTAATAATTACAGTTTGGGGGGATGTTAGTATCTGATAGACCAAGTCCTGCTCACTGCTCTCCTTTTGTGGATGGATTACTTCTATTTTACCTTCTAACAGGTCTCTGCTGCTATAAATTAAGACTACTGATTCCCATATATTAATTTTATACCAAATCACTATTCTAAATTCTCTGGTTATTTAGAATAGTTGTTTCTCCATGTGATATTCTTGGGTAAGCAATTAAACCACCTGCAAATAGTGATTATCTCCCTAATACCATTTATGTAGTCCAATTTATTTTTATTGTCTAATTGCATTGCCTAGTTACTCCAGAACAATGAAAAAATAGATCAGAGGCCCAAAAAAAGCAGAGACTGGTCAGTGCAACCACATGCAAATTAAAATTATGCCTTACAAGGCGTCTGGGTGGCTCAGTGGGTTAAAATTATGCCTTACAAAAAAACATGGCAAACGATGCCAAAAGTGAAACAATATATTAGGAAAAACTATTTGTAGTCCTTATCACAGATAAGGGAGTAAGAGATTTGACACGTAAAGACATTTTATGGATAAGTGGGAAGATAACCCAACAGAAAAATGGACAAAGACATATTAAAAGGCAGCCCAAAGGAAAAGGAAATACATATAGCTTTTAAACATAGGAAAAGATACTAACTTCACTCAAAAAATTACAGAGATACCATTATTTTTATCAATTCTACTGTGTAGGTGAGGACATGGAGAAACAGGTGCTGTCATATTTTGCTGGCAGAAATCTAAATTAATGTCCCCTCTAAGACAGTAAGAAATTCTTAACATTTATCAGAATTGGAGACATAGGGGCACCTGGGTGGCTCAGTCAGTTAGGCCTCTGCCTTCAGCTCAGGTCATGATCCAGGGTTCTGGGATGGAGTCCCCCATCATGCTCCCTGCTTCGCGGGGAGTCTGTTTTTCCCTCTCCCTCTGCCCCTCCGCCTGCTTGTGCGCATGCGTGCTCTCTCTCTCAAATAAATAAATAAAATCTTAAAAAAAAAATTGGAGACATAGACTCAGCAATTCCTAGAAATAGATCCTAAAGATAGACCCTCACATACACAAATAACTACACCCAAGGATGTTCAACGTAGGGCTGTTAGCAATAGCAAAAGATCGGAAATCGTTCGAATAACTTTGAGTAGTGGCCATACAGGGGAATACTGTGCAGCAATTCAAAAGCTCTGTAGCCATTTACTCATTTGTTCAAAACTATTTATTAAGCATATACTTTACTTCAGGAATTACTTCCAAGCTGGGAATACAGCAAGGAGCCAAATTGATTAAAATGCC